CTTTCATAGCAGCCAAGTATGTTTGTTTTGTCCTGGGTGCCAGATTTTAGATTAATTCCGTTACCACTTTCTGTGCTAAACAGGTAGAAAAGCAGAATATAAAGATTTGGGCTATAGGAAAAGGCTTATTTTCTCTTAGTTTTTGGCAGACATCCATGTCTTAATTTGAAATGTAAAGCCTTTTACTGCACAGTTTCTTGATAAGTTAATATGTTCATTGTGCATACTTTCCTCTTCGTATTTAGACCAGATCATTTGATGAAGATGCAAAGGAGAGTCGAGCAGCTGCTTTACGGGCCGCTAATAAATCTGGTACTGGCTTTGGAGAGAGCTACAGTTTAGCAAATCCATCTATCCGAGCAGGAGAAGATATTCCACAGCCTACCATTTTCAATGGAAAACTGAAAGGTTACCAGCTGAAAGGCATGAATTGGCTGGCCAACCTATATGAGCAGGTATCTTAGCACATCTTGCAAATTTTTGTAACTTAAGTCATTAGAGTAAACTTGGTCAAAAAAAATACTGATTTTAAAAAATGGACTGTGTATCTGTAATGGCTTTAGAAGAAAGAAAAATACTATGTAAGCCACATATCAGTACTCTTGATTATTTAGGAAATAGCAACTTTGAATGGGGCATTAGGTTCAAGATTCTTTTTGTGGATGTTTACACAACTGTTTACTACTTGGATTATACACTGAGCAGGCTTTTGCTGCTCAGAGCTCCATACTGTTTCAGGCTTGGGTCAGCTGGTAAACTGCAGGCAGCCTTGTCCCTGCTTGTGTACCCAGTTTCCAGTGGGATTGCAAAGTGCAGACAGGCTGAGGGAAAACGTCAGTCTTAAGAAGTGAATGAAAGTACAGTTGAGATAAATTAGCTCTTAGTAGAAGATGTAAGAGATGAGAAGGTGTTTCAGTGTTGTTACAGTGGGGCTGCTCCCCCTAAATTCAGTGCAACTGTTCTGCTAGTCCTGTATGGATTAAAAAGTAGTAAGATGAAGGTGTTCATTTATCGATCTTTTTTGCAGGGCATCAATGGAATCCTGGCAGATGAAATGGGTCTGGGTAAAACAGTACAAAGTATTGCTCTTCTTGCACATCTGGCTGAGGTGGGTGGATTATAGCTTATGCCTGGTCACTATGCCTGACAGAAGATGCATACTTTTCACAAGTTGGAAATGAATTCTAGGTTGTAAAGCTTAAATGTCTTAAAAAGCATTTTATCCTTTGTTTTAAAGCAGAGCCTTTGAAATGGGTGTGGGGATGTGTTTGTTTATATATAAATACATATAAGTAAAACTGGAATTTTCATTTATTCTCAGAATAGTATCTTTTCACCTGTGCTGAATGTGAATGCCTGATGAGAGAACAAGTTGTACACTTCATGGTTCCCTGAGTTTTACAGCTCAGAGAAGCTTGTAGAAATGAAGTCCAAATTTTGAGCTTCCTGGCAATTATTGTGGATTTCCATATTTTAGTGGGTTTTTTAGGAAGCATAGTAATTCTTCTTTTTCAGGGCAGACAGACAAAACAGAAAAAGCATCATGAGCTTACTTCTTCACACAGAAACAGATTTCTAAATTAAAAAGAAAAAGTCTTGATTGGCATCCAGTCACTTGCCTTAGGCGATATCAATCAAGTGATACTGAGAGCAGGATTAGCTGCAGTAGTGACCAAATGACAGTTACGTGCTTGTGTTTATGTTCCTTTTGATACCAGCTCACTATCACCATCAGCCACAATACTGGAAGGGCGTGGTGAGCTAAAGGCTCTTGAGCTCATCTGTTTGGAAGGGATAACAGACAGACTCTCCTCCCTGTTGCACTGCAACTTGAGATTTCTGGAAGCCTACACAGGGCTTTTGCTTTTTCTAGCTTTACAGTATGCAGGCCAGCTTCTAACTACCAATACACTAATAGGTCAACTTTGTTATTCACCAGAGAGTGGAGTGGAGTGGAGTGGAGTGGAGTGGAGTGGAGTGATGTGATGTGATGTGATGTGATGTGATGTGATGTGATGTGATGTGATGTGATGGAGCAAAGCTTTCCAGTGCCACCTGCAGTTCTTTTCCTCCCCAGAATGACAGGAGCTGTTAATAATGTGAAGGTGGCAACTTTCAGAAGCAAAGGAGATTGTTCTGGGAACAACTTCACTGTTACGAATAAATCTTAGTTAAACATTAGATCTGCTCTGTTTGATTCTATATCACCCTGCTGTGCTGAGATGAGGATTTGCCACATTGCATATAGTTTCCTCTCTTATGTAGCCGCTGTCATTTAGTAGTTGTAAAGCTGTATCAAACTGTCTCTGTATTGCTTCCCCTCAATTAATTTGTGGATGTCTTTTTAAAAATGTATTTTATTTTTAATGTGTATATTCCAGAGAGAGAACATCTGGGGACCTTTTTTAATAATTTCACCTGCCTCTACTCTTAACAACTGGCACCAGGAGTTTGCCAGATTTGTACCTAAATTTAAGGTAATAAGCATGTGCAAGAAAACTCTTTCTCTTTTCTGAAAACCAAACTGTTTTGTTCTCTTGAGTTCTTTGCTACATCTGGGTTCCTTGTTACCTTGGAATTTGAAACTCATTAATGGGCCAGATTCTGATTTTTTTTTCATCATCTTGAGGGTTTTTTTGAGCATTCAGTTATCTAGGGCTTGAAAATGTTCTTAGTTGAACCATATGATTTTCATTTTTGCATCAGTTTAAAGACATCTTCTCAGTGAGGAGTTGATGTGGGGCAGGGAGTAGATGTTTAGTTGTAATGTGTGGGCCTAGCAGCAGATACAAGAGCAGTATTTCAGTTGTATATACTGTCTTTAGGGCTAGAGAAGTGTTTTCAGTCATTCATATCAATTTAAGTAAGATAAAGATTATATGTGAACGAAACTGAACTCTAAACAGATTAGAGAGACAGAGAATGCAGTTGTTATTACAGAAAAATGGAACCACCATGGATTAACCAGTAATCAAGAAAAAGGTGACGAGTGAGGCACAAATAGATAAGAACAAAAAGATTAGAAGAAAATAAATTGAATTCTTCAGGTATATTGTGAAAGTGACAACATAGTAAGGTAGAAAGCAAGGAATAAACTACTGAAAAACAAGCTGCCTACCTTTTCCCCAGTGGAAAGCACTGGAGTGTTGCAAAGGAAGAGTTGAGAAGAACATGTACTGCTGAAACACTGCTGAAATGTTAAAGATAGAAGCGTCAGGAGCTTGCAGTTACATCTGCAAAGAAGAGTAGATTATACTTTAAATATTTGAGTTGTTGACTTAGTAACCTTTGACAGGAGGTCTTGATCAGTTTGTTTTTAAACATGTGATGCTCTTTTTACAGAGAACGGTAAAAGGCACCTAGTTATAAGTGACCAGTATACCAGTAACATACAGGCTAATTGTTTGAATGTCTTGGCTACTTAATAAGATGAAGGAAAAGACTTGGAATTATTACTGCAAGTAATATTTGATTTCTTGGTCTGGGATGGGGCAGTATTAAAGGACTTACCTTTTACCAAACAGCTTGCTCTGCAGATTTCCTGATGAGACCATATGTTTGTTGTGGTGGGGTATAGTTTGAGGTATCTGTGAGGAGAAGTTGTGCCAGGACATAGCTCAGTGCTGGAGGATTCGAGTGACTTATATTTTGAGATGAATTTGGATTGCTGAGACTTCAAAAAAACTGATGAAGAAATAGGAATGCTTAAATTTGTGAGGAGTTACTTTAAAAAAACAACTAAAAATAATCCATTTGTGTATTTGCATAACCCAAAATAATAGGGGCCCTGATTAGAAACCCTGGAGTAGGAAACATTAGAGCAGTTGGCCATTCTACCTTCTTACTTTCTCTCTTTCTCAGTTCATTGTATAGAATAGGCAGGCAACTGTTTATACTTTCTCCTTCTTGGAAATGAAATACAGAAAATGTTTCAAAAATGCCGTCAGGAAGATTGTGAAAAAATCACAATCATTTTTTTCATAACCTTTTTTTTTTCCACAATTTTTTTTTTTACTTAAAAATAATCTGGTTTTGTCAATATATAGCTGTTCTTTGGGTTTATTGTGTAATAATGTTTACCTCATCCATGAAAAATAACATGTTTTTAAAAGTTTTCTAAACTTAATGATTGTCACTTGTTTAGAACTTTGGTCAGTCTTTTTCAACCAGTTTTGTTCTTGCTTCTAGTCATACACAAGTGCTTCTGACCATACAAAAGTGTGTAGTCAGTTATGCTTGTAGCAAATCACATTGAATTAATTTCTTCAAGTCCATGGCAGAATAAGTAAACTAAACGGCAAGTCACTTTTTGATTAGTCTGGTGTTTTGCTGGCATCCTTATTTCAGAACAAGTTGGAAGAGTTGTCAGCTAAGGGCACTTTGACATTTGGAGCCACCAGCATTCCTCACTTTCTTAATTGTCTTAATTGAGCACAGTCCTTCCATCAGGCAGGAGATGGCAGTGCAATATTACTAACCAGTAACGGGTTTCAGTGCACTGCAAAGATCTGTTCTGAGTAATAGGACCCATGAAATTCTGAGCTATAAATGGATTAACAAATTTCTCTGGCAGTAGTGATTACTTTTTAAAATTCTTATGTGGTCCAGACCGTATGTTTTAACTTTAGCTCGGATTTCTGGGGACAGATCTGACATACAAAGCCGACTGGACTATGTATGGGAATGTTAAACGGGAGAATTAATCCACTAGACCTGTAGGGTTAACTGTAGCAGTTGAGGGCTAACTTCTTTCTGCCATAAGCAGAGTATAATTTTTAATTTTTAGAAAAACCTGACTAGAAGGTGTAACGTGCTATTGGGCATTTTGAGATTCTCAGCACAGCTTGCTCTGGTCTTTGTACTGGGCATAAGTTGCTTTGTACCTTTGCCTGGAATGCTCTTATGTATTTTTAAGTGCTTTCTGATTTTCCTCTGCGTTAAGAAAGATCATTTTCATTTTCATGATTTTGCACAAAGAGACCTGTCTTTTTCATTTTGCGGAATATACAGTATAAAATTCTAGAACAGCTATGTCTTTATTTGAAAATAATGTCTGTCTACTTTTGTACTGTTCCAGGTGCTACCTTACTGGGGTAATCCCCATGATAGGAAGGTGATCAGGAAGTTCTGGAGTCAGGTAATACTGGCATGCCTGTGTGCTTCGACCATATTTGGTTTTTCGTGCAGAGTAAACCAGAAACTGTTGCTACAACCCAGCAAGCTGAACAGTGTGTGGATATGGAGTTCTGTTTCTTCATCCATGTAGTAGCATTTTAATTAGGATAAAGAGATAGAGGACTTCGCTTGTGCTGGAGAGCAGTACAGTACAAGGCAGTTCAGGGCAGTGTGGAGTTCAGTTGAAGAAATTAGAGCTTTGTAAATAAAGCAGGAAGTTTCAGTGTCAAGGACTGTTTATTCTGTTAGAGTAACTTAACTTAGGATGCTCAAGTCTAGCATCCCTGCAGGCCTGCCAGATTCTTCCTGATTTAACGACGGCATTTTGTAGGGCTCAGTGCCTGGGTCTTGTCTGGCACGTTAAGAAGCATCTGAAATTGTTCAGAGACTAATGGGCTGGAGTCCAGATCCACCAGTTGAATAACCATGCTGTAATTAATTTTAAAAGTCAGCTGGGGAAAAATGCAGTAATAATGAGGAAAAGATCATGAAACAGAAGTCTGAAATTGGAGAATACACACATGAACTCTTCACAATGTATTTACTTTATGTGGGCATTTATTTCTTATTTTGTGGTTACAGAAGACATTATATACTCAGGATGCTCCTTTCCACGTGGTAATTACCAGTTATCAGCTGGTAGTACAGGATGTGAAGTATTTCCAGCGAGTGAAGTGGCAATATATGGTGCTGGATGAAGCGCAAGCACTCAAGAGTAGCTCCAGGTAATAAATTAACTGGAAACAAAATCTTCCCTCTGTGTCAGCCTCTTGAAAGAGTATCAAAACATCAAGATTACACAAACTGACTGAAGTTAAAATGGACACTCAGAAGACCCTTTAAGTGTCTAACCTAGTTAAACATCTGTATAACTCTACGACACTGCATTGATCCACTGGTTTTCTGCATTTAGATTTTCCTTCTCTAAATACATAAAATGTGATTATAAAGTAATTGTGGAGCAGAAACTTGCACGGAGTACAGGACAGTTAAACAAAAGTGTGAAATGCTGTTCACCACCTTTCCTGACTACTCACAGAATTCTGCCTAGTGAACAGTCAGTAGTCTTTAGTGTCTGTTGCTTATGTTGGCTCCATTAAATGCATTATTTTGATTCCTTCTTCAGTGGGACTTCCAGACATGAATGAAGGTCAGAACCGTGTGAATACTGTTGGCTGCAGTAAAGCCCAATCTTTGTCATGAGACTGTGCCAGAAAGTTTTCTGTTTGTTTTCAAATAATAGATTTGTTCATCTTTGCTTCCGTAGTTGCTTTCCCATAACCTTTGTCCAAGCTGCCACTATACACAGTAAATTGAAGACTGCTTTAGATGCAGGCTCATTCTGACTGAAGTCTGTCTCTTCAGCGTTCTTGGAAACTGCCCCTCAAAGAGGATTGTGATGTATAGCTCAGCACTCCTGCCACAGTAGCTCAAACACATAAGTGTTGTAAAGTCTGAAAAATACATGACATTCTGATTTATAATACCTGTTCCTTTTGGGAAGTAAATTATTCTGATGATGAGATTTTATTAGTATCTAAGGAGTTGTATTAAAAATAAGTAAGAAGATTCTTAGAAGAATAAAATAAATTATGCACGTTTCTTTGTCGTTTGTAAAATGCTGCTTCTTCCTGTAATTGTCTTCTGAAAGACTGGGCAGTAGCTGTGATAGTTTTACCCAGTGACCTCCAAAAATCATTTGGGAAGGTCACTGGAAGCAATTGGTCTTAAAATACTTTGTTTCATATCCTTCTACAAGAAACAGTTCTAATGATTTTTCTTACATTTTCTTAATCAGTGTTCGCTGGAAGATCCTACTGCAGTTCCAGTGTCGAAACAGATTGTTGTTGACTGGGACCCCAATCCAGAACACAATGGCTGAGGTATGCAGAAGCTCACAAGAGCGAAACTTTTCTTTATAACAAGAATATGTAATAAGTATATGTGAACAGTTGAGAAACCTCGTTGTATTTGTGTGGTTGTGGGATTGTACTTGTTGCAAACCACAGGCAAACAAGCGTGGAATCGGCTCTGGGAGGGGAAAATTTGGAAATGCGCTACACATTCAAATTAAAACAGAAGTTACCTAATGTTTAGTAATACCTAGATTACTGGATGACATCTAAGTCCTGTGGCTTGTCCTTCAGTTGGCTAAAATGATTGTGCTGTGCTTCTCACTGCTTGCTTGATGGTATTTTGTGAAGTTGATATATCTGGCATTTGTTTGGGAGGGTGGGAGGAGGATGTGGCTGGGTTTTTGCTTAATTTTTCCATGGCTTGTGATCTAGTAAAGTGATTTTGAAGAGCTGCAAGGGTTTGGGATCCCCAGTTACCTTGTCCACGGCAGGGTGACTTGCTGATCTGCTGTTTTCTCTTCTCCTTTTAGCTGTGGGCCCTGCTGCATTTTATCATGCCAACGCTGTTTGATTCCCATGAAGAGTTCAATGAGTGGTTTTCTAAGGACATAGAGAGCCATGCAGAGAACAAATCCGCCATTGATGAGAGTGAGTGCAGTGTGTAACTGCAGTAGTTTTTGTATTAAAAATCTGTTGCCTTTTCTAACTACTAATGAATAAACTTCATCTCTCATTTTTTCTGTGAGAAATGTCATCTAAAGCAGAGGGTGAATAATGAGATTGGAATGTTCTGGATTATGGTCCACAGTGTATGTCAAAGTTTGTGTTTCTGACTGTAATGTAGCATATGTAATGAATAGCAAAACATGTAGTGAAAATGTTGATTTGCTGCTTGTCTCCAGTGTTTGTCCTCGCCAAATGCAGGAGAACAAATATTTTAAGTATTTCTAGGTTTCTACAGAACACATCGTATTGGAGATCTCCGGAGTATGTTACAAGCTCTAGACATGAAAATGATGACACGAAACACTAAACGCCTTTTGAGCTCCAGAAGAATAGCCTAAAAATTCTTAAAAAAAAATATCTTCACAGTAGATTTTAGGAGATAGTTATGTAGAAAAATCTAACTAGGTAAAATAGCTGAGATGCAACTGGAGTAGAACACAGCACAGTTGGGACTCACCACAAAAATAAAGACTTTAAGAGCTGTCAACCAGAACTTTGTGTTTACAGGTTATGAAAAATCTAACTAGGTAAAATAGCTGAGATGTAACTGGAGTAGAACACAGCACAGTTGGCACTCACCACAAAAATAAAGGCTTTAAGAGCTCTCAACCAGAACTTTGTGTTTACAGGTTACTGTAAAGACTGCAGTTGTCTTTCAATGCAGTATGCCCCATTCTTGTGATGCTATAATTTTCTGGGGTGAGACTTAAGACTTTAAGGATCTGTTTCCGTGAATGAGCAATGTCTCATTGAAACCTTCCTCTTAACAGTGAGTGATAAATTTAAGCTAGACTTTAAGGATCTGTTTCCGTGAATGAGCAGTGTCTCATTGAAACTTTCCTCTTAACAGTGAGTGATAAATTTAAGCCCATATCCTTCAGCCCAGAGGAATACAGAACACATAAAATGCTTTAGAAGTTCATTCTTTGAAACAGATATTTTGATTCATAAGTTAAATAGTATAGCTCGGCACTCAATTTAAGAAAAGAAAAATCAACACAGAAATACCAGCTCTGTGCTATAAGAACTCGTATGGGGGAAAGTGGCTGAGTAGCAAGGGACTTAATTTGTAGTAGAACACCATATAGTCGTCGTCTTCGGTGAAGTGATTGTTCCTTCTCCATTCTGTGTATTTCAGACCAGCTGTCCCGCTTGCACATGATCTTGAAACCTTTCATGTTGAGAAGAATCAAAAAGGATGTGGAAAATGAGCTATCAGATAAGGTGAGGAAAAATATTTATCTGGAATGACTGTTTCAACTTCATTGTCACTGCTCTGTTTTCTAATCCATTTTTTGCAAACTTGTTTGCCAGTCTGCCTACCTGAAATTTGATTGCAGACCTTTCATGGACTTTTGGTCCTTTGTGAAGGATTCAGCATGGGTTTAGGATTCTTTTTTTCTTGCTTGTACAGAGCAAGAAAGGCATAGTGACAATATCGTACTCTTTTCTCTTGTTAGTCTCTTAATTTCCAGTGGATGTTAACAATACTGGATGACCTTGTGGTCAACGCACCCTCCAGTTTTGGGGCCATTAACTTTGTTCTGTTTATTAATTTCAAAACTAGAACTTGCCACAGATACTGTTGTTATGTGATGCACCTGTCATTATCATGGGCTTCTGACACCTGTTTAAAACAGCTCTAAATGAGTAGCATTTTTAAGGGTAGGACAGTAGAATTGAGGTCAGATTTTAAGCTGATCAGCTGCAGATGTGATGTTATCAGAGCTTCTTAAGAATCTATCTGTTTATTTAGTTGTGCTCACATACTTTTAAAGGTCCATCTCCTACCTCATTACCTAAGCCTGCCAAAACACACCTATCAGTTAAGTCCTTCCTAGGTTGGAGCCTGAAATACAGCTATGAATGGGACTGCCTATATATGTATTTTTTGAGAAAATTATGGGTTTTTTAAGATATGTTTCTGTATGCTTTGTGTGTACTGATGTGGTCATCCTCCATTTCAGAGACAGAAAAGGCTAAATCTTCATTACTGTTTTGCAGATTGAAATTCTTATGTACTGCCAGCAGACAAGTCGACAGAAGCTGCTGTACCAAGCTCTGAAGAACAAAATCTCTATTGATGACCTCCTGCAATCCTCGATGGGTACTACTCAGCAAGCACAGACCACCACTAGTAGTCTCATGAATCTAGTCATGCAGTTCAGGAAGGTAAGGCTATTTTAAATACTTTTTTGAAAAGTATAATCATTCATTAGCACTGAACTAAAATACGGCTTCAAGAAAACATCATATAAAAAAAAATCTGGCATAGTCAAGCAAATTTGCCTGCAGTACAGCTGTGTTTCTGTTGTGGTGTAGCATGATATTGGGGTAAAAGAGCTTTAGCAAAATGGTGCATGCATCTGCTAACTGATTTGGTTCCAAATTGGGTGTTGAAGGAGATAATCTGTGTGGGAGAAAGAGGCAGTAGCTGTTAATGTGAATAGGAAAAGATGTGACACACTATTCAGATTTGAGCAGATACACTAAAATAGCTGTGACATACTAATCAGTATTAAAGTGTTAGTGACCAGTAGTCATAGATGGTTTAGGATGTAAATGCTGCATTGGACTAAATTAATTCCTCCCAGTGTTTGACTTGCTCTCTTTTTTACAGGTGTGCAATCACCCCGAGCTGTTTGAGCGACAAGAAACTTGGTCTCCTTTTCATATCTCCCTAAAGCCATACCAGATTTCAAAGTTCATCTACCGTCATGGACAGATCAGGGTCTTTAACCACTCACGGGACAGGCAAGACTATTCCACTTCCTTTCCAGCTTAGCATATTTAGTATTATTACTTAGATTTGGTTTAGCTCTTTTAAGTGCTAATTAACTTCCTTACCTGATGTACTTAAATGACACTGGCCAAGCAATGCATTCCTAGTTTTCTTTCATTTATTCAGCTGTTAAGCATCTGAAATCCTGATCATCAGATATCCCTTTGATGGAATAAGAAAGTCAGAGGAAGGAATTTAGAGGAGTTGCTGATGATGTGTAATAGAATTAAGCTTTAAAAAAAAAATCCTAAAAAAAACCCCAAACAACAAACCCCCTGGTTTCCCTTCAGTGAGTTTTCTTGTTTAAGGAAGCTATCAGTATCTGTCTGTTGTGACATATTATGAGCATCTACTAGTGCCTTGACAGCTTTTAATGCTTACCTTGGATGAATAGAAGCTGCCCAAGTGCATTTTCTGTTTTCTCCAACTGTGGCAATTCTTGATTAATTTTGTTTGCATTCGGTTATGAGAAATGCTCAGAGCAGAAATGAGAAAGCCACGTTTGAAGGTGAAACTAACTGTTCTACAGTGTAAAATGCAATTCCAGAACAATAGTGTCTCAATGTCAAATTTACAGTAGCGCCTGTGGACCGATGATGCTTTTCTCTTACTGCTGTGCAATTCCAATATCCAGAGCGCTGAAATACTTGTAATGAAGAACTGAATGGTTACTTTGCATTTTCTGCTGATTATGTGATTGTACATTGTATGTGTTGTATGTGTTAACACCTTCTTAGTGATTTTGTCTGGTTTTGTTGCTTTCATTCTCAGGTGGTTACGGGTTTTACTTTCGCCGTTTGCACCAGACCACATCCAGCAGTCCCTCTTCCATAGGAAGGGTAGGTTTACAGTCCTGGGAAGCAAGTTGGGTTGCATAGGTTGCACACTTGCATGTGATATTGTAATATGTGTTATTCGAGGAGGAGACGGAGAGGCCAGATCGCTTAGTCCTCTGAGATAACCTGATTAGAACTTGTTAGAATTTTGTTAGCATTTGTACTTGTACGTGTGTTTCATTCACTCAATGAGGAAAAGATGGAAGCAGCTGGAAGAATAATCTATGGACAGCTTGTTATTTAGTTACTGCTTAATCCTACTGCCGTCTCTTGTTCCATTCCTCCTGTCTTGTTTCAACTTGCTGTAATGGATTAATGCTGCCTTTTTAGTCTAATGTGACTTTTTCACAGATTCAATTCAGAGAGATCTTGGATTCATTTCAGTACATGCCAACTTCTCTTTCAAGTAAAAAGTAGATGAGATGCAAGTGACCCAGGATCATCTAATCAATGAGCAAAAAAACCCAAATAAACTGCTTATATTGACAAATACAATTTATTATTATAGATGATGGATTATTTTTTTTCTACAAAGAGCTACCCAAATTGCTCAGCTGCTGGGGTGGGAAAAACCTTAGGATAAAAAAGCAGGAGTTACTGGTTGCATTACTCTGCTGAAATATGTTACCATAGACCTGTTCAACTATGTAAAACCGTTTTCAAGTGAGAAGAACCAGATGCAGCTACAGGAGTCTGTAGCTGTGGTCCATCCAGTCAAAAGGTGAGGGAAGAAGTGTTTCCAGTGAAGACTGAGGCAAAAACGTTGTAGAGTACCTCAGCCTTCTCCTCGTCTGTTGTTACCAATTTGCTGGTCTTATTCATTGAGGGATACACTTTTTTGACCTTCTTTTTCTGGCTGACATACCTGTAGAGGCCCTTACTATTATTCTTTGCATCCCTTGCCAAGTTCAGCTCCATCCATGCCTTGACCTTCCTGACCCCATCCTTACACAACTGGGCAGTTTCTCTGTACTCCTCCCAGTATACCTATCCCTGCTTCCACTGCCTGTGCCCTTTAGTGTCACCAGCAGATCTTGACTCAGCCATGCTGGTCTCTTGCCTTCCTTGCCTGATTTCTTTCACCTGGGGATCAACAGCTCTTGCACTCTATGGAAAGCATCCTTAAAGATCTGCTAGCTCTGTTCTGCTCCCTTGTCCCTGAGGTCAGTTTCCCAGGGGGTCCTGTTTACTAATTCCTTGAACAGCCAGAATTTTGCTTTCCTAAAATTCAGTGCCCTGACTTTACTCTTTGCCTGACCCACATCCCTCAGGACTTTGAACTCCAATCATGACATCTTTGATTAGCTCATTTGTGTTGGTGACTATCAGGTCTGGCATCACACCCCCTTGAGTTATCCTCAACGCACTCCAGGAGTCTCCTGGGTTGCCTACAGCTTTCTTTGCTACTTTTCCAGGAGATACTGGGGTGGTTGAAGTCCCCCAGCAGGACAAGAGCCTGCAAGTGCAATGCCTCCTGTAGCTGGAGTAAGAAGACTTCGTCCATAGGCTCTCCTTGATCAGGCCATCTGTAGTAGTCAAAAACCATGAGGTTCCTTTTGTTGCCTTGATCTCTAATTCTTACTCATATATTTTCAACTTGCTCGTGGCTGTTCTTCAGGGACAGCTCTTCACACTCTATCCATTGCTTGTAGAGGGTGACCCCTCTGCCCCTCCTTCCTCACCTGTCCCATCTGAGCAGCCTGGAGCCACACTCCAGTCATGGGATTCATCCCACCCAGTTTCAGGATTGGCAGCTAGGTTGTAGCTTTCTAGCAGCACGGTGGCTTCCAGCTCCTCTTGTTTATGCCTATACTGTGTGCATTGGTGTGGAGAATTAGAACCAGATTATTCTGGTTTCTGTTTGTTTTGCTATTCATAATAGGCTTTTTCTTGGGGACTCTTTTTGGCATACCGTAAAAGAAAAATAATTTGGGAATATAGTTTTTGTGTAGAAATTGAAAAATTAAAAAAAAAAAAATGCTACTGGGGATATGCAGTGCACATGGGTGGGCCAGAAAGGCTTTCTTCATTAACAGCGTAACATATCTCTTCTGCTCCCCACCCTTCACTGCAGCGTATCCATCATCCTCACCATATCTGTTGCATCCCTATCCTCTTGCATTTCCCTACCAATTCCTACATCTTCCAACCCATTTGACTGACTGGCTGGGTAAGAGGGAGCGTGTTGGCAGGCATCCTGAGGTACGTGTGTTCTGGTCAGCCATCTGGCAGATACGAGCTTGGATTCATAAAAATGCACACTGCCTATTGATTCTTAGTCAGTGAAATCGGTGCCCTTACTGGCTGCATGGTTTTCTGACCTGGTATTCATCTTTCTTGGTAAATGCCCTTTTCTTACCCAGACTGGAAAACGAACTGGAACTTGAAATCAGGCAACAGCGATTCGGATTAGATTTTCAGTATTTCTAAAAGATGTAGGTTAAATTAGGATCTGTGTATTCACCTAGATTTGTCATATGTCAGAGGATGTGTATCCTGTATGGATGTAGCAAGTTTACTGTTTTCAGCTATGAGTGTCTGTGAAATGCGTTGTCCTAACTTCAATATTTCTGTGACGTAGGCATCAATGAAGAAAGCTGTTTTTCGTTCCTCCGGTTTATTGATGTCTCTCCAGCAGAAATGGCAAACCTTATGAATCAGGGACATTTAGCCAGGTGAGGACAACTTTTTTTTTT